CGCGCCCTCCGCGACTGACGGCTTGCCCGGCTGGAGGAGGCGGGTGGAGATGCGGATCTCTCCCCGCTCCTGGAAGCAGACGAGGACCTTGGCGGCGCTGACAGAGTTTCAAGCCCGAGCCACTGCAGCCTTGACAAAGTGATCACTTCAGACTAAAACTGCCTTTCCTACCAGACGGTACCAGAACGAGACTGAACCAAATTATAATATTAACGATGACAGGAATAATGCTTGGGAAGCATCAATACTGTATAAAGAAATGAAAGGAAACAGGAATCTTTTTAATTTAAACATTTTTGCATGTTGAAATTAAATAAAAACATTTTTTAACATTTATAAGGCACCAAGTTGTTGCCTTTTCAAATTTTTCATTGGTTGAAGTCACAGTGTGGGCAAAAGTTCAAGCTTTTTTAAACGTTTACCATAAAATGAAATTGTTTCGTGTTCAGCAATCTTAAACTTGAAAGGGAGAGTATTTAGGAGATTCATAACAATAAACCTCAGTTATCAGCAGCTACTGGTTTGGCCGTTTGCCACAATGTGGGGGAAATGGAGCAGCTCAAAGCCAAGTCTTGAAATACTATTAAAATGATGATTTACTACTTATGTTCTTCAACACAATTTCAAGATTATAAATTAATTGTTGTTAGGTGTTAATAAAAAAATGTTATTAGATATAAATTAAATGGTCAATTCCACCTAAAGCTCCCTCTGCAGGGCAGGAAGAGGCACTGCATCTTCAGCCAACATTACCCACCCCAATTCCTGCGTACTCTACCTTTAATTTATGACCGTTAAAAAATACTTGAAATATGCCCAAACTGTGCATTTGACTAATTAAAAAATAATAATATTTCTGTTTTTATTTATTGAATAAATTTAACTCAATCTGGATAAAATAATAAAAAATAGTTTGGAAGAATTGCCAATAAATTGTTCAATGTGGACCGGCAGATAGTCAAGGAGTTTCGCGAAGGGCTAACAGTGGGTGCTAACGCTGAAACTGGTGATTGTGTTTGAGTGTTTGCCCCCCACTTTTCTCACAAACACTTCTCTAATATTTGACTCCAACTTTCTCACAAACACTTCTCTAATATTTGAATAAATTAGTCATTCACCATCGTCCTTTGACCATCAAACCTAAAAAATAAAATGAAAAGTTCACGTCACCTCCAGCCTTTGGCGCCTGATGAAGCGTTAACACCCGGTCCTGTTCTGCTTTCTCTCTTCTTCTCCCTGAAGGGCTAAAACGACAGCTAATTTGATGTGATTGTACAGAAATTCAAACAAGATGCCTTAAATGTTTTTTTGTTGTAATCTTTTGTGAAACTAGTGCATATTTAAAGTTTTTCTTTTCACTGACGTCTCATGTAAACTGTGTGAAAGAAGATTGGAGCTTCAGAAGTGGAATTCTAGGAATAACTTCAGATCAAACTTGGCATAATTACTTTATTTTTTTCGCCAAAAAAATCTGACAGTTTTAAGTCAGAATCACGACTCTTTAGAATTTTGTGAAGATAGATCAAATTCAACAGAATTATACATTTTGATTATATTTCTGGAAGATGCTAGATATTGTTTGAGAATTGACACTAGTCCATATACTCCAACAAACAATATTGTTTGTTGAGAATTGACACTAGTCCATATACTCTTCTTTCTAAGCCTAAAGTCCAAGTTAATATTTTGCAGATACATCAAATATTAATTTGAAAAAGTTAAAATTTAAATTAAATAACATACAAATATAATTCAATCAATTTTACCTCTAATTCTCACATCCATCCAGGTTGGAATTGGTTAATTTTTATGCAAAATGATTTTCCTTAAAACTTTGCCCACAAACTGATTTTCTTCCCTCCAAATTCTGACAGTTAGCATATTGAAATCCAAGAATTCCACTTTGTCTGACTTGACTAAAGTTCCTTTAAAATAAAATGAAGTTATGGAATATCTGACTTCTTCGGTGAAAACCAACAGGGTGGAGCCCTGATCCTCTTTAGTTGAACAGCAACAATGCAGTGCTTTAAAGAAAATCTTATCCAAATAATTCAAATCCAGTTCAGGTAATTTGTGGACTTGAAGGTTGATTCTTTTACAGTTTTGAGATGTTCACTCTTTACATTGGTGCACTGGGATCAAAAGGGATTTTTCTGTGGTGCAGTTAGATTAGATTAGGTTTTTATTATACAGCATAGGATTTTCTTGTGTTTTCATACTTACCCTCATGAAGGACTTTGGACTACACAGTGGAAACCTGTTCAAAACACAGGAACAACTTTGAAAACTATGCATTGACGAATGTGAAAAGAAATCGTTTCAATACCATGTTGCACTGTTGTAATAATAATACGGTAAAAAGACACATTTGTACTAACAGGTATAAGAGGAAGAGCTTGTAATAAAGGAAACGTTTTCTTCCTGAATGTGTGTTTGTGTCACTGTCACTGGGTCAAAAAATCTGTAAATTACTGAGAGTATATTTAATTTAAATATTGCCTGTTTCCAAACAAAAGATATAAATTAAATAGAATTTTTTTTTACATAAAAAGAACAAATTTCTATGCAATTTAACATTACATTTTGTTTGTTATTAGAAACATTTATATAAAGGAATAACTTTTTTATTATATAATATGACAAATTGACATTTAAATAAATGACATTTAAGAAATGCTAATTAGTTCTTTTAATAGAGGCTGTATATTTCTTCAGGAAAATATTTAAAAATATTATTTTAATTAAGAAATTTGTCTGTACCTCACCCCCTTGTGTGGTGGAATGGTAATGCGCTGGCAGGAGAAAATTGTGATAATGATACATGATCCCAGATACAAAATCAATGAGACATGGTTAATATAATACTTACCATTGTTCTGTCTGGAGGAGCAAAAAGAAAAGCTAGAAAATTCATTTTCAACATAGATTAAAGACACAGAAAAGACCAGAACATTTTGTACATTAGACAAAAAAATAGAACTGAACCACATTTATTTTCAATTAGAAACTTTGGATTTGATTGAAAGAAACTATTAACTTATTTTATAAAAAATGTGTGACCACCTCATTGCACATCACAAGGTTGAAAGTGGAAGTGACAAAAAGTGCTGGCGGTGTAGGAGTCACTTCCACATCAGCTGGACAAAAAACAACATAAAGGACGCACGATGTGATCACTTGACGATGTATCCACAAGGCTACTTGCATATATTTAGCCTCATGCTAACATCACGCTAGACGAAACTGGTCGCTCGTCGCACTTCCACAAAAGTTACAATCAAAAATAAGTTAGACGACATGCTGAGTGGGGTCTGAATTTCAGACAGAAGCGAGCCTGTCGAGTCCCACGGGGACACGTGCACAGGAGGCTGAGGGGGTTCCAGGGTTTGAGTACCGTGAACACGTCACTCCCACAGTCACCATAAGCCTAACAGCATTCTCCCATTTTCCCCTTCATTTTCAATATAAATCACCAGCCACACATTATTAAGCATTATTAAGACATTTTTTAAAAGTTC